CAACGACGGACAATAGGATCGTGGAAGAGTTAAGCTTTCTTTTGTCCGCGACCGTGCGACGCGTATCTTCTGGACAGCAACGCGTAGGACTCGCTTTCATTCCGTCTCCCTAAATCAGCGGAGCCTTGCCCGTTGCTAGATATCGCCGGAGAATAGCAGGAATGACGAGGGAAACTTATATATCCGTGTCCCGTAGTTCAATTGAGGAGTATTAAATGAAGTCGGTAAGTTCCATGCAAACAAGATTGAACGCTAAATAGAATCCCCGTGAATGCGATTCGGTTCGCGAGTCGTTTCATGCATAAATCCGCCAACTGCCTGTTTTGTGCGTCTCGCATTCGCCGGGAGAGGCGAACGAATACGCGTAATTATTCGAAACTTCGAGACGCCGGAAGAATCGGGGTTCCTACTTGTCACAGGTAAACAAGCAACAAATCACTCGGAACAGTTATTCATTACGACGACAATACGTCAACGTCCGTGAAAGAAGCACGGGCCGGCGCGGAAAAATCGCGGCCGCGATGGAAACGGCTTAAAGACGTCCGCGTAGTTTCGTTGATGAAGTTCGCCGTTCCCGGGGACAAACCCCGAGTACCGCTATAAGCTGTCGTTCGTGCTTCTTTTATTCTCCTCTGCTCGCTGGAAACTTGAACGCTCCCGCGACTGAATACCACGCCCGGAATTTCCATGGATTTTATCTGGGACAGGACGCAAATTAAAATACCATCAACCGGCGATGTTAAGAGGGTGAAATTTGCATTTCATGGGACTCCGGGATGTCGCGCGAGCTCGGCCCCTTCCTCGAATCGGACGTCCCGAAATAACGGGCGACGCGATCCGCGGGACACGCGGAGGCGAGTTTCCGAAGCTTCCGTCTTTCCGTAGGGAAGACGCCACGCGACAAGGGCGCTTAACGTCCGAGTGATTTTTCAACACGCGGCCTCTCACAGAAAACGAACGGGTCCAAATGACCGAGGCTGTTCATCTGTCATTCTAGAGAACCTCGTGACCGTCCCGCTAAATGAATTTGCCACCGTCCCTTTACAATTGGCTACTCCCGTCTTACGCATCGTAAAGCGCAAAACGATTTGTAGCCCGTCGTAAGACGGCATAGCAGGCTTAAATTTAATTTCCTTGAATCCGGCAGCTCGCTGCTCGAAGCGTACATAATCACAGAGTCGCCATCGGCTTCGTCGTGGCATAAATTACTGGACGCGTTTCGGAATTCCGGATCGGTGTTGCTCGTTTCCGGGCAAGAAGGCTCGCAGAAGATGGACGCATCTTGTCCCCGAGCAGCCAGCACGCAGCGCGCAAAGGTGAGCTCGTTGCAAACTGGTTTTTCCAGCGCGGCGCGATGGCAGCTGCGCCCTAATTTTTTCACCTTCATTAGGCAAGGGCGTGTAACGGCAATTACCGAGAATCACAGGATGAGAAACATTCTAAGTGCCGGCTTTTAGAGGTGCCATTAAAGCGGTCGGCCATCTTCGCCGGCTATCCTCACCGGCCATCTTCGCCGGTCACCCGAACCCCTCGTGACGGACTGCCGTCGCGCCCCGAAAGGTCGTTCCTCTTCGATCGGTTTGCGTCTCGCGCGATTCCCTTCGGCTAGCAGCGTCTCCGACGACGCGCAGCTTCTTCGTCGCTGCACGCGCGCGCGTCGACCGACTAATTTGCATCGGTAATCCGAACGCTGCGTCGACGGCCAGGTCACAAATGGAAACACGCTTTTTAAATGTACATTTAGATGAACTTTTTAAGGAAGCCTCGCGCTCCGTTCCCGGCGTCCGACCGCTTCTGAGATCAGATTTTCCACCGGGAACACGGAATTTCTGAATCGCGCGGGATTAAAGGCGTAAAAGCGCTAAAAGGTTCACGTGTTTACGCCTGAAACATTTATTTACCGCCCCGAACGGCTTCCTCTGGTCGACGTCGGCTACCCCGACGCGCGGAAATGGGATTCGAAATTGCAGCTATGAATAGTTATTTCGATGGAACGAGTTTCTTCGCTGGTCAACCTCGGTTTCCGCGATTTATCGCGTGGCTGCGAATAATGACGATCCAAAGAGACTCGTGTGGTTTAATTCGTACTCTTATAGGTACTGCAACGTATCATTTCACGCGAGAATTGTTTAAATGAGCAGGACAATTAGGAATCCACGGAATAATGACTCGAATCTCCATTGGCAATTGACGACTAACATTCGAAATTACACATTCCGAGTACTCGGGGATTTCGTTGAACACGTTGGTACCGCGCGTAAACGGTACAGTTCCCGCAGCGCGGGGAACGGAGCACGTTATCGTTTCAAAGAACTGCGAAACGGATAATTGTGAACGACATCCTGTCAACGGCGAGTATCGAATGCCGATACTCTATGTCTTGAAGCCCTTTAATCGAACAGTTTTCCGACAGCACGAACTAGCCGCGTGTAGTTTTTGCCCGGCGCGTTTCGTCCGGTCCATCCGTCGGGCTTTGATCCGACTACGGCAACAGGGAACAGCGGTGGAAAAAAAACAAGAACCGAGGAAAAGAATCCAAATAGAAGAAGAATGAACCGGGCTCATACCTGTCAGCGGTTCTTTCGTTGCTTCTTCATCGAACTGGGAAACGTGCGTGCGCGCTCGCGAACCGATCGGAACTGGTTTCCACGGCCTATTACCAAGTTCATCATATTTACACACCGGGCACGTACATTAACGGGCGAGAGGGGGTGGGGCGGCCGGGGCGGAAGGGGAGTAAGACATTAAAATATGCTTCGTTCCACGTACAGCTTCATTTAGCTGTTTCTTTGGCGGACGCGTCTCGCGGAACGAGCGGAACTTTATTAACTCCACGTCAGCCGCGGCTGAGAAGCCGGCGTGGCGTGGCGTGGCGTGGCGTGGCGAGGGCCAGAGGATCGGCGCAAAACGCGGGAAAAAGAACGCTGCCCGTGCGGCGCGCGTATCCGCGGCATCTGGCAGGGGTAGATTCCGCGTTCCCTCTCGCCGCGGATGGAGCAACGTCGACGGCGACTACCATCGTCCGCGACGGACACGGCGCGCAACGATCGCGGGCCGATCGCGGCCGAGGCGGAGGCGCCGGAGAGACGCGTCGCGGGATTTACGCTGTTACCGGCGTTAACTTGATCCGCCGGCTTCTTGAAAAGTGGTCCACGGGTTAGACAAACGGGCCTGGGCAACGTGAACACGCGATCCGCGCGTGAGAACCCTTCGTCACGGACCGACGGCGACTTTTAACGCGCCTGGAAAGTGTTGCGGACACCGGCTCCGAAGCGATCATTGGAAAGGAATTTCACGCGAACGTTCAGATTTCTTGCTTCGCGAGGGCTGCCGGCGACTGCCGAAGATTGGAAATGGAAATGAATACGCGTGTTATTCAATTGTAACCCTTTGCGCTACAGGCGCCTCTGAGTCGCCAAATGATTCGACACGGCGGAACTGTGAACTTTGATATTTAATATTAACCCTTTGCGCTCCGAAGTTTTTCACTAGAAATATTTCAACATTGTTGAGATGAAGACGATATTTTGTAAAACCAACTCGAGAAATTCACGCGAATTGATGGACAAATCTATTTTACGTCAATGTTTCTTAGATTGATGTATTTTATGAAGTATAATATTAAATGTCAAACTTTATAGCGTCACTGTAGGAAATCAAGTGGTGACAGTCACCTCCCGAGTGCAAAGGTTAAACTTCGTATAATGCATCAATGTACGAAATATTAAAAGGAAATTCTCTTCCTCGATGCATGTGAGATTCCTTAATTCAATCTGAGAAGTCGTCTGTATCTCATTAGAAAATATTGAATGTGAGAAACTTCTTAAAGTTAATCTTACTGTAACTAGAATGTCTAACCTTTACTGAATGCTCGAGCATCAATTTTTATTCGAATGGTGAATTATTGTTTCCAAAGAATCTTCGAAAGACATATGAACGACAGCAAACAAAGTCAATCGAGAAGTAAAGTCAATTCTGTAAGAGAAAAAGGTCGTAGTAGACAAATGACGCAATATTGTCTAACGAGTTTACTCGAGGATCGATTCTCCTCGATCGGGAACACGCACCGGAAGAGCGACTTATTTATCTTTATTCCGGCGAGTCAACAAATAACGCGACGCAACATGAAATCCGAGGCGAGTCCGTTCTATTCTTGAGTTTATTTTGAAAGTGGGTCCCGTGTGTCATGAAACACGGCCTGTGTATTCGCACCCGCGCCAGTGTCTACCGGCGGACGTGAGTGTGGTGGCTGAGAGATGTTTCCAATTTCATTCAAACCGATTGTGAAATGGAAGAGCCCCGTACCGCGGCTTGGCTACGTGACAGACATACCGGAAAACCCGACTTTTGGCAAATTCCTGGTTAGACGAGACGGATCCCTTTGCCAGCCCTTCCAGGCGCAGCATCGAACGCTTCTTCGCCGCTCGTTTTTCTTGCCGTTCCCTGTCCCGAACTAATCAAATTCCTAACAAGACGAGACGCGACAAATTATCTTCCCCGGAAATTCCTCCGCGAGGATCCGAGACAATTATTTCCCGATCCTCGTTACTCTTTCTGGACGTTCTTCGTTTTTCATTTGAAACGGAAGTGTCATCGAACTTATCAGTCTTCCACGCTGAATGACGTCCTCGATTCGTCTCTGGTCCACCATACATTTTCAACACTAGGTTTACGGACATTTACTGTGCAGTTTATTCTACTCCTAGAAAAATTCATTTTTCATTCGGATTTTGGAAGTTAGAGATATAAAAATTAATCAAAGTACACATTGATATAATTGCATCAATCAAAGTCGACGTAAATATATACCAAATAGCGTCTATAACATTCAATACGCGTCAAATTGACTCCGTAAACCTAGTGTTAATTTGCTCGACACTCGAGTCGCCTTTAGTCAAAGCTCCGCGAAACGAAAGGTAGAGAAAAGTAACGCACAAATATAAGAATGGCATTCGATGCAATTATAACGCACGATCATGTTACGACAAGAGTAATAAAAATCGGCGAAGCTAGTCGATCGTACTAAAATCGGAAATCCGCCTGGATGCACAAGCTCGCGTTCTCCAATTTCCGCGCTTGGCGGGCAGAGAGTCCGTAATTGGCGGGCAACCGACGCCCCTTCGCGCGGCAACACGCTCCGCGCGCGAGCGAGGGAAGAAACGAAGGGAGGATAATTTCCATAAAACTCCTTCCCCGTGTTCCCCGCTTTCTTTTCCGGTTCAGCAGGTCGACGGAGCTGTCCGGCCGCTTCGGTTCTCGCCGCGAGAGCCCTCGTGAGCAAACGCCGTTAAGGGTTTTTGCGCGATCGCCGGTTTTTGCCGGGCGCAGCTCCGTTTTCGAGCAAACAATTCATCCGGCGGCCTCGCTTTGACGGGAGGCGCGTTTCCACCGTCGATTCCTCCGTTTCGTCGGGGAGCAGCGTCGCCGGTACCGGCGGGCCGTAATTGTATCGTGCCCCGGCGTAATCACCGATTCCGTTTATTAATTATCCCCGTTCCTCCATTCGCGTTCGCGGCCGCGCGCGCTCAACGGAAACGGTTAACGAGTAACGCCGCCGCGTCCAGCGGATCCCGCGTGTCCGCGACGGAAAAAGAAAGCGAACAACGGAGGCGGTCAGGGGAGGGAGGAGAAAAAAACGCGCGCTCGCAACCTGAGAAAATCTCATTAATGGTAAACGCGATAAGTGCGCGGTTCTCCGCGAGCCGGCACAATAAGAACCGGTGGTTTACACGTCCGCGACGAACGGTTTCTAGGTAAGCCCCGGCAGCGTTCGTCCCCGTTCTTGCGGCCCGTCGCGCGGAAAAGTTCGATGGGCTGCACAGTGTCACTTATTTACGTGAGAAGGGAAGCCGAAGACGCTGTCGCGCGGCTTATTATCACGGCCGTGTTCCGAGCTCCCTTCCCGGCGTCGCGCGAAACACGCTTCGCCGCATTTGTTTATTCGTTGGCCGATTCCGCGGACTTTTTGCCTCGCTGATCGCGTCCCGCGGAAAAATCCTACCGGTTCCCGAGCGCTAAAAAATCGTCCGCCTATTTCCGTCTTCCACTTCAATCAGGCGACCGCGATATCGAATGAAGAGCATCGCGACCATTCGAACGCGCCGTAATCCGGTGGGATCGGGTCCGGCGAAGAGCTTCCCGGAGCGAGCGAAAGCTTCCTCGCGCGGCGACATGCGGGCGACCGTAACAAGCCGACTTCCCGACTTCCTCGCATAATAAACAGCATTTTTCTCCCTCTCACCCGCCGCTTGAGCGTTCCAGCGGGCGTAACCGTTTGATATAATATACCCGAGAAAACGGGTATCCTACCCGGCTTTTTACGCCGCGCGATAGGCCGACGGACCTTCCTTTTGCTTTCTACATTAAAACGGCGGGCATCGCGGCTGGCGAAAGCCGTTTCTTTCCCCGAGTTGTAAACGCGCCAGTAAAACTCGAGTCGAAGCGGCAAGCGCGAAAGTGGATCGAAATCAAGGAATCAAATTCAATTTTGTCATCTCCGCATTAACCGAGCTGTCCGAGCTTCGAGCTCCGGGAAAAGGAGGAACGCGACGGTGAAGTTCCCCTTAAACTCATCTCGAACTTGATCCCGCGGCCCGAACGAATTTAAATCGCACACCGACGCGATATCCATCGGCGATTACGCCGGTGTAACGCAGCGAAAGTTGACCGTGGCGGTAGCTCTGAATAAATGAAAAGCTCGCCGGGCGACTTCGATGCCATCAATTCACCGCGGCGACGCGCTCGCGCGCCTAATATTATATTGCGGTCGCGCGGAGGCATTCGTCGCGGATAAATAAATGTTCATCGACGGCCGCGGTATACATCACCGGTCCGTGACAGACGTTTTATCACTCTCGCCGCGGCGGGACAGGTAAATGCGAGGGTCGCGCGGACGAGAGGAGGAGCCGCGCGAGTCCGCTTCTTCCAGTCGGATTCTTGTTCCACGAATTGTAATTTCCTGTGTACGAGGTGGCACGTACAAGCAGCTGTTCGTAGATCCGGGGCCTCGTTACTCGGACAAGTCCCGGGGAGAGGAAATGAGGTTAGCTCGCGTGATCTGCAGAATCGGCGGTACGAGATCGTGGTACGAATGGGAGACCGGCAGGGAAGCCCCGTCCGAGGCTGCGGTGTTAAGGGCGCGCACACGACCCGGTGATATATCTCGATGCTCGCCGTCTTTTCTGAATTAACGGGTATAAATTTCCCCTTTCCCCCCTCGGCCCCGAGACTGTTATTACTTTCTAATAAAGCGATATTGCTCCGCGGCCCCGGACTCCGCTCGCACGAGCAAATGATGTGGAACGACCAGTTAACGAGGCGGTATGCCTCTCTCGTTGTTATTCCGCCCGTAGACCCCGCACACGCGGATTCTATCTTTCTCTCCCTATCGTTGCGATCCGTCCGTTTCACTCGTCGATCAACGGACCATCTCAACGCCCGTGAACGGTAACCTTCGAAAACGATGTACTGTTCGTATGTACAGTTCGACGGAAGTGGACGCCGTAGGACGGTGTACGGCGATCGTTGATGATTTTTGTTTCGTTGTTCGTCGAGTCGGTGATTCATTATTTGGTGATGTACGCTTCGAGTTTTTTTTGATTCTTCGCGGAGATCGTCGAATCTGTTCTGCCGTTGGTAGTATTTTAATGGGAGTGTTTTAAATTGATCCTGTTCAATTTTGTTCGTTTGCATGCTGGTAATTAATAGTCGGACAAGTAACGATCCTTGGCCATTGTGATGAACAAGTTGTACCACCGTCCGCTAACAACCTCCGAAGTAATGCCGCTCTATAGTTATAGATCGGGCGGGGAGAAATGTTCATTACCGGACGAGCGATCGTTCGGCTTATTAAGACGACCTCCTGTCGTTAATTTGGCTTCGATACTATGATTGAAATGGGCTCCACTTCCGCTTCGAGCGCAGAACAAATTTCTCTAACGATGTAACGCGAAATGCCGATTAACGTGAAAAATATCGACCACCGTTCCGCGAAATACTCGCGATTCCGTTCTTTTTTCGGAACGTTTCAGCGTTCGGACGTTAACGGAGTTAATTGTTTCAAAGGCGGAGAGGCTGCGATGATTACACCGCGTCTCGAGGATGATGACATCTCTAGCACATATTTCGCGTCAGTTCGCGTTACACGGTTAATTCGATGAAATGAGTTACTGTTTCTTTGAAATTGCAGGGGTACCTGCGTGTTGCATCGAATCAATCCATTCCTTATGATTTACTGTAACGTCAGCCAATTCCGCGCTTGACGCGTACAATTGCGTCAGGCTGATAAATCAGCGGTGTTTTGACACCTTAGCGTAATCATACGGGCGTTCGAATCGTCGTCTACGGGGAGTATCATTCGTCTTTCGGTTCCTGTTTAGAAACGTGTTCGGCCACATTTCCTCTGAATCTTTACAACGAATCTATCCCTGTCTAAAATTCACGCGTCAATTAGTCTTCCTCGCGGATGGAAATATGGGAAAAGGTCGAGCGCCTACACTGTTCTACAACTTTACAAGACACCTGTCTTGTAAAACAGTGAGGTCCCGTTGCAAGGATGTTTAACATTTTCAAACGTACTCGAATAAATAAACGCTTGTAAATAAAAGTAAATCCACGTGCAACTAACTTCGAGCAGAACGAAATTTTGCAGGATGCTAATATGAACGTATCGAAGAAGGCGAAAAATTATTTTAAGGTACTCAGCGGTGCACTGATTTTCCCGTTTATCGCGTTCCCTCTTTCTTTGGGAACCAAGATCAAAATGGAAACGTCTCCGCGGTACCTCGTAAGTGATATTGTATTAACTCGTAACTGGAACACATGGGCGAGGCAGCCCGAGGGAATTTTATTTACGTCGCCGCTACCCTGAACTTGCTTTCACACTCTTCTTGGCGGTCTAATAAAATACAATACGATTTTAACCCTTTGCACTCGAAAGTTTTTCACTGGAAATATTCAATATTCTCCGATGAGATACGGACGATGTTCTTTGAAACTAATTGACCCTTTGCACTCGACAGTTTTTCACTAGAAATATGGAAGACTTTCTGATAGGATGCAGACGATCTTTGGAACTAATTAATGAGAAAACATATATGAATTAGGAAGGAAAGATATTTTATTTTAATATTCCACATATTGATGCATCATGCGAAGCTTAATGTTATATATAAGACTTTATAATTTTGCAAATCAAATCAAGTGGTGACTGAGTCACCTCTCGAGTGCAAAGGGTAACGAGAAAACGTATAAATTAAGAAGGAAAGTTATTTTCTGTCAATATTCCACATATTGATCATCAAAGCTTAATGTTATATATAAGACTTTATAATTTTTTAAATCAAATCATTACACCCTAAAGAATTCTCCAAGAAATTCATCCGATTAATTAGTACTCCATGTTCGACTAATTACAAGGGTACACGTTAAAATCCACCCACGAAGTTATCGCGTACAAATATCAATAAACGTTCCGAGTATAAAGTTCTAATAGCTAAAGTCAAATGATTCGAATAAATCATTCTCAGAGTAACCGCTGATTACCCGAATAAAAATGTCGACTAAACAAGGATAAATGATTCAATTATTCCTCGTGTAAAGTGATCTATCATCCGTAATCTTTTCGGCAAATTATTCCTGCGCAATAAATGTTTCTTTGAAACGATTTTCATAATGATCCGTCCATCTTGAACCCGGTTCCGTTACGGAAACCATTTCGTTCGGCTGTTTGTGTATCAAAATCCCCCGAGGGCGACCGTTTAACCGAAACAAGACAATATTTGCTCCTCGAATTTTCGAGCGTCAGTGAGCATTACGTTACACGTGGAAAGTAATGACCGGCCTCTCGCGAGGAACTCAACCTCCACAGCACATCATAACGCGTCATCGCTAAGAAGGCGGCGCATCAAGGATGCGACCTATTACGGCACGAGCAAATTGCTTCCCGTCGTAAAATCCGTCCGAGTGATTGATTAGCATGAAGTTGGTCTAACTGGTTGACTCGCGGCTTCTTCCAACCCGACCGTACTCTCTGCCACTCACTGCCTCTTTCTTTCTCTCTCTATCGTTTGCTCGCTTTCTCGCTTTCTCCTGCCTACATTTAAGCAGGAACGTAAAACGCCGCCCAGATACGTTCCCATAACGGTCATTAACCGCGTATCGACATTATCAGTGCCAATCAGCTGTGTTGACCTTGTCGCCCATTGCCGTGCTTCACCTGTCACGCTCGAATGGTAATTAATCCTCATTTCACGCAAATTCGAAATTCACCTTTAAAATTTTTGCGCGCAGAACGGTTATCGGATCGCATAGCTTTCATTTTGTTTTCGTGGGTGAAAAGTATTTTCCCGATAGATTCGACGGTGCTTGAAAGCTCGGTTTCTTTATGCAATGTTCTTTGCTTAACTAGAACTACGGATTTAAAACGATTGATCTGTAATTCCTATAAAAATTGTCACAATAAATTATTTTCAGTTTCTTCAGACATTCATTATAGTACTCAAGTGGAACTATTTATTTTCCAAATCATTTCGAATATTCAATGCTTCGAAGATATCAATAATTGCTAAAAAATCGAAATCAGTCATTTTGACTGGTACGGTAGTTCTAGTGTTAGAAAACATTCGGAGAACATAGCATAGGGATTGAAATAGTGAAATATTTAGAATGCATAAAACCTTTAACACTTGAACTACCGAGCATTTAATACGATTGATATGCAATTCCCATAAAAATAGTAACAATAGATTATTCTCCATTTCTTCAGATATTCATTATAGTACTCGAGTGAAGCTATTTATTTTCAAGATCATTTCAGATATTCAATGCTTTTAAGGTACCAACAATTGCGAAACAAGACGATCGAAGCCAGTCATTTTGGTACGGTAGTTCTAAATCTCTCGGACTCTGTTAACATCGTGTTCTGTTAAGTCTCACACAGTTTCTCCATTTGAATATTACATCCTCTTTTTTTTCAGAATATATCACGATCGTCTCGATTAAAATCCCGGCGTGGGCTCGAAGCCCACGTAGAATCCCATGAAAAATGTCAGTGTCCATAACTCCCGCCGGAGATCCTGATCCCTATGATTCTCCGTCGATGGAACTTTTACTGTCCCCCATAAATAGCCGCGATGCAAAATCGCTTTTCCGTCGACTGCATTTTCAACCCGTGCAATTAATCCATTGTTCGTAAAAATGGCACCAGATTACTTTCTTCTGCGGCCCGACTAAGAACGGAATTTCTTTACCCTATTAGCGGTTCCGGCACGGACCGAGGAAGATGAACGTCCCATTAAACTTTCTTGAACGTCTTCCTGTAGCGAGTGCTAGAAGACCGAGGCTATCGCGAATACATAAAATCTTTCGATCCTGCAATTAGAAAAACGTCCGGTAGCGTTTCCCCATGAATCTCATTCCATCAAAAAGTATCACAGGCTGCCGCGCGCGTAGAAGCGGCTTTCTACGGTTCCCGTGGCATCTAAGGTCCAAAGACTAATTGAGGGAAAGACGTTATTAAAACAGGTTCGCCGGCGGTGATTCTGATCGAAGTCTCTCGATTCGACGGAAAAAATAAAAAGAAAGGGAACGTTCGTCTGTCGCGTTATCGTCGGTGAGAATGTATCTTTTATGATGTTACAGCGTAAAACCGGGTAATCCGTGTACTTGTAAATAAAGAGTTTTATAAGATAAAGGCGACAACTGGTATCAGAGTCGGCAGCGGACGCGACGAGCGTTAAGCTAGGGCTTACCTTGCCAGTCGTAGCCGATTTGTAGAGCGGGCCCATGATGACGTGATCAGTAGGGCAGCCGTGCGTGTCAATTAGGACGATCTCGCTGGAGTCGACGCCGTCCATGGCCACCAGTTCCCTTACAAAGATCTCGTACGGGCTGTTAGGGTCGAGGATCTCGAACTTGAGCGCCAGGGGATCGCCGACTTCGGCGGACGGTATGCCTTCGTTTCCGCTACGGTCGGTGATCTTCATGGCCACGTTGGGCGAGTCGACGATCACCTCCTCGGACAATGCCGGCGTTATGTCACCGTGGACCCCGAGATCGACTTCGTTCGACACCGTTTTGTTCGTTAGGTCGTACTGGCAAGTGACGGCCAGCCCGAGATCGGAACTGGTGACGATCGTGTCGTGATGCTGGATCACGACGTCGTTCAGGTAACGACCCAGGCCCTGTTGTCTGATGTTGCACTCCAAATCGTCGTAAGCCATTCGCAGCTCGAACTCCAGGGCGCCCTTCACGTCCTGCACACACGAGTTCGGCGATCCCTTCACGTAAACTTTGCCGTAGAACAGTTTGCTGGTCTGGATCCTTGTGACCATGTCACCGGCGCGGCAGTCGATGGTGACGTTGTAGCAGGAGCTCAGCTCGTACGTTGATCCCTCCGGCACGTCCAGATACGGTTCCTGAAGATAACCGGAGGTATTTTCGATGTAGTGCGAAACGGTAATCGGGGATTTCGGGTTTTTACTGTTCTATGGGTCACGCTTTAACACTGGAACTACCGTAACAGTCGAAATGACTGGTTTCGATTTGTCTGTTTCGCAGTTATTGATATCTTAAAAGCAGTGAATATTCGAAATGACCTTGAAAATGAATAACTTCATTTGTATACTGAATGTTTGAAGAAACTGAAATAATCTACTGTTGCAATTTTTATAGAGATTACATATCAGTCGTATTAAATGCTCGGTAGTTTTAGTGTTAACCGTTTGCATTGGAAAGATTTTCACCGGAGTTGTTCAATCTTATGATAGTAATTGTAGTAATTAACCCCTTGACGTACTATTTACTTTCGTTACTAAGCTCGTAATATTTTACTATCGACAATTTGTATGAAATACAGCAAAATTTTCCATTTTATTTCAGGTGAAAATTTCATTTGAAGATAATCCGTGGGTAATAACACCATTGATTCTTGTTAAATTAGTCTAGAAATCTTCATCACGAGTCTCACTCGTCATTGTACGGCAAGGGGTTAATAATGATAAGATTAATAATAATTATTACTATTTTCCGATAAGACGATGTCCTTAGAAATCGATTATTCAGGGAACATACATAAATGTAGAAACAGAGCCGTTTCATTCGAGTGCTTCACGTACCGATTCGTACGCATCGCCTCATCAATCGGTGCATATATTTCGAAACAAATTCGAAACCGTAGAACCGGCATCAGTTACAGAGCAAAAATGATATTCCGGTTTCCGCGACTGATTTTCAGTTCGAACCGTCGCCTCTCTCGCGTGCGAATTTTCCGCGCGACTGTACTCTAACGGCACTGTTTGAACGTAACAAACACCAGTTTCAAATATTGCCGAAACCCCAGCGTCACGTGTAAAAAGTTAATACAAACTTTATGAGTGAAAATTCAATGCGAAAATAGAGTAGATTCGCGCGTGTGTACACCGAAGCCCGCACCGAAGGTCCGCGGCGCTGACAAAAACCGGCGCTGACATACTTCGCCCTGGGCACGGGAAATTCCCTCTTTCCATTTTTATTACACGCACTCGGAAACCAATTTCTGCGTTCGAATCGATTCGACCGGAATAGCATTCTTCCGCCGCGAAACAGTGCATTAAGCGTCGAAAAACAGGCAACCGCAATTTCGCTCCTGCGCGGATAAGAAGGTTATGATTTCCGTTCGAATTCGTCAAGGTTGCAACACGCGGCTCGCGCGGACCGATGCGAGGCGCGGAGGAATCGTGGCGTGCGCGACGTGTTAAAAGTACAAGTGATTCGGTTCGACGCGAAACGCCCGGTGGAAATAGAGTGAACTGATTCCTCAACAGGTTGGCGTGAAGAAAACTCTTTGTCTTGACTTTCTCGGGGGTGTGGGTCGGCGTTCTCTCGTATGCACGAGCCGAAGAGCCACCCACAGGCTCGATAGGGTAAGCATCTGCGATGGAAACTCGATTTTCCACGAACGCGCTCTCGGCGAATTGTTCGACCCGGTTTGCACGTGTGCGGCGTAATCAGGTTTACAGAAAATCCCTACCGGCCCTTTCAAGAACACGCGCCGGAGCGGAACGCGCGGAACCTGCGGTCTACGATTTCTAAGCGAATTCTATGCCCGGGATTGACGTTAAATTGTTTTACTCCCGTATGCCGAATGAATTAAAGTAAGTTCCCGCAAACGAAATTCCACGCCGCGAACCGCCGTCGTTTCACGCGACAGCGCCGAAACACCGCCGCTGATAAATGTTTTATTCAATTTTTCCGCGGCGACGGACGGACCGGACGCGTCCCGCGATATTTGAACTGTTGTGCATTTTTCACGAACCGGAAATTTCAACTTCGACGAGCCTGTAACGACGTTATGCAAATCGCCGAACAACGTTTATTATTCAACTTACCGGTCTCACGCGGAGAAAGAAACGCGCGCGAAGAAGTTCTTTCGATTCGCGGGAAGTTTTGATTAACGAAATAACGAAATTCCGCGCTACGGGGAAAACACTGTTCCCTGTAAATTATTTCGTGGAAATATGTATCCGCGGAAATGTCAGCAGTTGTCGCGTGCTCGATAAAGCAATTATTTTTTAAAGGAAAAATACACATTTTTCGTCGATTTCACTCCGATGGAAACGCTCGCGTCGCACGGTGACCTGAATTTCAATTTTACTTTACAGACCGTTTACCCAGTTATTAAAATTAAAATATAGATATAATTTTCCATGGACTCATTATGTTGCAACAGTGAAAATTTCATATTTCTAGATATCGAAATATTTCAATGAATCGTAAAATTCAATTTGCAATGATTTATTACGAAAATTGTGTAATATTCCATTTCACTAATTCTCGTATATTCAAAGCTGACGGAAGTGCGGACTTTCGAGACTGGAATTAAAATTCGAAACTCGAAAATTTGAAACTGGTCTGTATCTCCACGTTTGAAATCGAATTGTGAAACGCGGTGCCCGTTGGAAAAAAGAATCTATCATTCCTAAGGATTATGCAACGATTCGTATTACAGCGACTATATTATAGATAATGAAAAGGTGGATCTCGTGTACGCCCCACGCTAAAAATTCTAAACACTACAGTATTTTTACCTGAATGTCGGAAAGAGTGGCCCTGGAATGATGGCTAAGACGGCAGACCATGTCGCCGGTGTCGCCGTAGTCGTAAGAATGGCAACGGAAGGGCGAGTTGAGGCAGAGTTCGCGGCATTCCTCGGCGGTTCCGACATCTTGGTAGACGGAGTCGACGGTCTTCAAAATGCGGCCCGTGAGCTTCTTGAATTCGCAGAGCTTGACAGGTTCATCCACGCAGTGGTTTTCAAGATAATCGTAACCCTTGGCGGATTGGAAGGCGTTCGATCCTGCGACCGTCAATCGGTCCATGTCCGACAGATCGCACTGCTTCGTAGCGTTCACGTAGTTCGCAGATCTGCAACAGAGACAAAGCAAAACGTTCGTTCAATGTTCGGTTCGTTGTACACGCAATGAAAAGATTCAGGAACAATGTTACCACGCTTCACAATAACGGAATGCCCGGAATATAAACGAAACGCGCGAGATAAAGGGTCCCATCGAAGAACGTTTCCCCAGTGCCGATCGCGAATGCGCTTCGAAACGTTCGCTTAATACGATAACGCGTCCGTGCGCCGGGTCGCGCGGCATCATCCGTTTAAAATGAAAACGGTGACGCATTGAAAAATCGGACGGCCTCGATCCTGTCGCGGCGGTGTAACGGCGGACCGATAAAATCGGTAAATTTTTTTCGACGCCGCTCCGATCGCGCTGTCGCCGGCTCGTTATTGCAATGAGTTTAATGGCCGCGAAAGGGATATTTTTAATTCGATGATCCGACGGAACGTTACGTCGCCGATTAAATTGACCTGTTGCGCGGGGCCCCGTTTCGAACGAGTAGACATCATTTCGGTCCGCGCGTCGCGGGGTATTAAGTTATTGCGACTAAACTATCGCTGCGCCGAACAGTCAAGCGGAATCACGGGGTATCCTACGGCCGACAATGCGCGAATTTATTAAGTTACCGTGGGCCGCTTTATAAAGGAGGATCGAACGGTTCGTGCCGGAATCCGGGCCAGAAATTGTAATGGTAGCTTGTTAATGGATTTCCAGGAGACTGCATGCTTTACTTTGCCAAATCTCGCTCCGCCACAAATTGCAATCCGCCCTCTCGCGTATTTCACCGTGATGCCGGCTATATTCGATATCGTGCCCGCGCGAGCATGTATATCGCCGCTGAGAATTATACGTCTATAATATTATGCGGATCGCGTCGTAAAGAATGCGGCTTCCCTTTTAAAGAGATACGATAACTATGAGAAACTCGAGTGATTCAAGTAGACTCGGATATAGAAAGAAATTTAGCTTGAGACATTGTTGTATCAGCTTTTAACACTAGGTTTACGGAACGCATCAATTTGAGGCAGATTGAATTTTATAAACATTATTTGGTAAATGTGGTAAACTTGACTGTCTATTTCTACATCTACAATTTCCAGAATCTAAATGAACGAATGTCAACGTCCCCAGGAACAATAGAATAAACTACAATAAATGCCCGTGAACCTAGTGTCAAGCAATTAATCAAAGTACGAAATTATGTAAGTTATTTGAATCGTAATTTCGCAATTGGAAATTTCATGTTTTAGCATTTGAATTGTGAAAATAGAGCTTACGTAGGACAATGTGTTTAATGGTAATGCGATTCGACTGCGAGATATGCGAGAAGTGGACAAGTAGAGTAAGAAGCTTATGGTAAACCATATTTTTCTCTGTGAGTGATTTAAAGCGTCACCGATTGTGCAGTGATAGCTTTGTTTCTGTCGATAAGTCCTGAAGGATTTGTTTATTTTAGAAATTATCCAAATCCGTGATACCCTTAGAGAAAAGTGAACTTTTCATGTGATAAGTACAATCTTTATTGGTGCTATTAAACGGTTAAACGAATCTTCGAAGGTTTTTCCCAGCGAAATTGTTCGGACACACGTTTCGGAGCGTTATATTGTATGAAAATTGAGTTGTCAGGATTGAACCTTTGGAGGCTTACAAAATTTGAAATGGAAGTGACAGGAGAATGCTTCGACAGGTTTTTTCGCTGAAGTTTGAAAAAGAAAACCATTAAATGGTTGAAACACAATACATTTTTTTATGAACTGAAAATCGGCGCTGTTCGCCTGAACGAAATATAGGTGAAAAATCTGTAAACATAAGGCTGAAAATAAAGGCTGAACGGAAACAAAGAGGAATACAGTAAAAAACGTGATTGTCTGGTTTTGTTAACTGAAAACGTACCATTAAACGATCCAACTTAACGTTAACTACAGAATATTTTAATATATTCTTGGACAGTTGTGAAATTTTGTTTAAATACTGGATTTTGAAAGATCGATCGGACAGTTTGGATGGCAAAAGGAGCAAGCATTCCACAGTTTCAGAAGAAAAACTGAAAAATGATAGCATCAAATTCTTACTTCTGAAGGATACAACTCCGCAAGAATTTTAACAGCTAGGAATTATCATTTTTCAATTTTAACCCTTTGCGGTCCAAAGTGCTCTTGGTTTCTCACTTTGAGGTTCACGTCGACGTTAGTTCATTCAATTACAGCTTAATATGACGCTCTATTTATTTATTCAAGAATATTTGGGAGTCATTGAAATGTCACCTTTAAATGGTACAATTGTGATACTACGAATAAATATAGAAAAAATCGTTAAAACAGGTAGAGATTGCAATAAAATAGAATGTCATTACCACAGCACCAAACTCGCAAAGCACTGATCTACTCCCACTTCCTTTAAAATGAACCAAACAATGTCTTCCCGATCGTTACATGCATGGAGCAAGCGTAACGTCAGATGGTTTCCCCAGAAATCGGAAGGTTCAGTCGTTTGCTCGTTTTTATTTTCCTTTTTGTCGCTGCTCGTCGCAAATACTCCAAGCGTCACGATACTATGTTTCTCATGTATGCAGGGACATGAGAGGCAATGGAAATATGGATAGATCATGTGCAGGATTCACAGATGTGAAGCAAACGAAGAATGAGTGACTGTTTTGCTTCTCTCCTAGACGACATAGTTTCCCTAGCAAAAAGCTCAACTGATGTAACCAAATTCGCGAAATTACATTTTCTAACTCGTCGAACGCATTCGTATATTCTCCGAAAATATTCCAAACTTTAGTTTTAGTTGTAATCGTGGAGTTAACATCAATAATGACTGAATATAATGATATATTCGTTGATTATTGAATGCTTGTAATTAACTCGATCACGAAACAATTGCCAGTGTGCGATACATTAATTCCGTTTACCAGGAACGACACGCTAATCGATTGGTTTATCTATTTTTCCGTATATCGTCACAATTCATTCGACAGTACACAAGTCTGTGTACAGTGACGCTGTTAAAGTGTTTTTTATAGTGACGCTGGCAGGTATGTTGTTACTGTTATGCAAACATGTGTTCTGGGCGTACTTTGAAGTGTGTATAAACATACACGGTGTGTATTACAGTATCGCACGGCAAATGTTTGCTTGCCGGTTCATCCTTGCGAGAGACTCGACGGGATCCGATCGCAGTTTTCCAATCTTTCGCACAGCGTGCATCGTAAATGGAAACAATGGTTCGCTACGACGCTACAAAATGGAATTTTTAGAATCCCCTTGTCGGTATTTTATAGAAATTCCATTAATTAGCTGCTGTCGCGTCGACGAAAATTCCAGTTCGCATTACAGGAAGCAATGGACGTGTATTGAAACTCGGTGAAATTTCGACGCCATTATTCATTTCAAAGGTACCGTGGCGATACGTTCGAACTGAAAATCGAGTTTATCGTTCACGCGAAAAGCTCCGAACTGTTACGAAGACGATCTGACGTCGACGCTCGAATAACCGTGACAGCATTCTTGAATTCTTCAACGGCGCGCATCTGCCACGTTGGTATCATTATCAATCGAGTGTATCGTAAATCACCTGTTACAAGCGTGTGATTCAATTTCAGTCGGATTTCGACCTTGACTGGTCGTCCGCGTACAGCTGCAAATTAAATAGCTGACCGTTCAAGCGTTAATACGTTCTTGCGCGAGCTTCTTGCGCGGACGCTTCCGCAATCGGGTCTCGAATATCACCAAAAAACCCACGAGAAACATATTCAGCGCGCGCGGAACAGCGGTGCAACGATAAATTAATGTACCCCTCGTTTCTCGGTTCGCAGTCTTTATTATCGCTCGCAATAACGTCGATCCGTTGAATGGAAAACGTCGATCAAATCGAGCGGCCGGCGCCCGACCGCGAACGCGTCCCCGCGTTAACCGCGGCCATAATTTTCTGAATCACTTAAAGCGTTAACAATTCAGGTTTTCAATTTACGGCGCGGAAGAAAAAGGACGAGGCGACGAAGAAAGGGATGCGGGACGGGAAGAGGAGTAGCAGCAGTAGAGGAAGAAGAAGAAGAAGAAGAAGAAGTGAAAACTTCCATCACGAGGAGCTCAGGTGCTGAACCGCTATCATTATCTAACTGAAGTTTGCCCCGGACGTTAGCGCGACCCTTCCCCGGCCGCGCGCGCCGCTCCGACACCGGGCTTAGGGCGTAAAGCGAGCAGCGGGGCGCCAAATTTATTCCACGTCGCTCCATCGATTTTAAATTATATCGCCTTAGACCCTGAATAATATTCATGGCTGGCGCGTTATGATTTCAATATTCCCGGCGGTTCCCGTCGGACGAAACCTAAGTCGAAAAATCACCGGCGCGCCCTTATGTGGTCGGCCGCGATAAACGCTCCGCCATTCAATGAACGTATAATCGAATCGCTCGCGGTCCTCGCGATTATCACGATCCCATTTTTTATCGCGTCTACCGGTCCTCGACCGCCGCCGCCGATGCCGCCGTGCTGCGCAGCGCGGCGCGGCGCGGCGCGGCGCGGTCTCTATTAAACCTGAGATCGGTGTCTCGGATAGAGGCGAGTTCGTTCCCATAATTCCTGCCGAAGCACATATAACGGCCAGCGGGGTCAGGCCTAGGCTGGCTACTTAGCAAATAGATGGTTATTTATCGGCCCTGTAAAAATCGACTATCGATATTTTTAACGGGCCGTCATCTTTAATTCAACAGCGCGGCGTATTGTGTTCGGGTCCGCAGTTTGAAGAACTCTAGATTATAGTTGTCCAATCGGAAAAGTAGTTCTTCGAACTTGTTCTCTTCTCTTCTCGAGATAAACTGACGGTTTCATTGTGTGCGCGCACGCGCGCGCGTTGTAATTGACTCGGCCGTGACTGCTTCCCATTCGGAGCTTCTCGTTGAGGAACTTTAAGGCTAGAATTATAAACTGGAAATTATTGATGCGCTGTTACGACTTCGGAAAAATCCGAAGTGGACGCCTGAGCGGTTCGTTTCTTGCTTTAACGCCTGATTTAAGTTTC